CACACCTGTGGAAAACACGAAAAGTACGACATAAAGTACGTCAAAATCGCTTAAAGAATCCCCACAGAAGCAAAAGATATTTCCTTCCTTCTGCCCAATTCCATCGATTCATCCAATTACTCATAGATCCATTATCTGTCCATCTATTTATCCATCTATTCATCCATCCGCACATCCATCCTTCCCTCTATCCATCATCCATCATCTATCTATCCATCCATCCATCTATCTATCATCCATCTATCCATCCATCCATCCATCCATCAACGTTCCATCCATCCACACATCCATCCTTCTTGCCTCTACCGTCATCCATCCATCCATCCACACATCCATCCTTTTTGCCACTACCGTCATCCATCCATCCATCCATCCACATATCCATCCTTCTTCCCCCATCCATCATCCACCCATCCATCCATGCATCCAACCATAGCATTATCATCTGTTTTTGACTTATGGGACTTGTTAAAGACAGGTCCTGTCCTGCAGCTCTTGTATGCACAGCCTCCCCGTGACAGAGGTGATGTACAGCATATGCAGTAAGGACAGTGGATGGTGCCCCACCATCTGCCCTGATAAGCCCTTTACACTGTAGGGCTCAGCAGAGCTGTCCCAGCTAAATTGGTTCCCTTTCTGGACAGTGTAATAACCTGCTAATGGACACCTAAGGACTTGCTGAATGCACAGCTGAGACAAGGAGAGAAAGAGAGGGACATTATCAGACGGCCACCAGTTACACTAGTTATCTTAACTACTTTATAGTATTGTTTTATGACTTGTTTTTTTTTCTTCAATCTCATTCTAAAGAGTTAAGTATCATGTACATGCAGGAAAGTAGAAAGAAATGTTTTCATGCTCCATTACGATACTATTTCCATTCACTGCGACTCAGTAGACAACATCGGGGGAGGAGAGTTTGTTTAGCCTACCATCGGCAAGCTTTTACAGCTTTATTCACAGGATACATTCTGTTGGAGAACAGCATCAAGGGTGTCATCCTGGCTGTGTGTGTGTGTGCTCTCTTGTACTATAACCTTGTAAATCTCATTATCCGATGCCCTTTGGGCCTCTTGGGTGTACAGGTCCCTGCTGTCAGCAGGTCATAGGCAAGATACACAGTAAGTTATTCTGGGATCTTTGCCCTGTTACTGTAAATGACGATTTCTGTGTAATTTTTTTAAAGCGTTAAATAAGATTTGGTTAAAAAAAAAAAGTAATATAATATACAGTATCTCAGCCGTTATCTAAAATCTAAAAAGAAATTCTCAATTAGTTAGGAATAGAAATCAGGTAAGGACCTGTCACTCTACATGATGGCAATTGACTGTTGGCTCCACATTTAACACAGCAACAACAAAAACTTAACTAAATACAAACTTAAGCAGAATTAGTTGAGAAAGTGTACTCTGGAATAACCAACTGAGTACACTGAAAAATCAGTGTAATTAATCCTCAGTTATATTTGGATCAGACCCCTAACTTTGTATTTAATTTTTATTCATTGTTAAAAAAAGTTAATTTAATACGTTTTGTAGGTTTTAGCGACATCTTGTGGTAATTATGTTTTTATTCTCACCTCGCATTCAAGCGGGTAGGAGCACTTCACAAAAAGGTGCTAAAATCCTGGCTCAAATCATCTTGGTTTTCTTTCCTAAAAATAAATCATTCTGTTGATGGTTTTAACAGTTTAGAACTTTTTTTTTAAAGGAAATGTAGCATCATTTATTTAGAAAAAAAAACAACTGCCAAAACTTATCAAAAAACAAAAACTTTGAGCCTAACAGTCGACCAATCATCAGAGCCGCAAAAGAGAAGAAAACAAGTTGGCTTCAGTGACACTTTGTCAAAACTCTGTCCTCTGTTACACTCAATCTTCTATCAGAATCTGGCAACCCAAAGACGTCTGCTCACTGTTTCATCTGCTCCCTGCAGACGGTGAACTTACCTCAAAGAAGGTGGTTCGGCTCATGGCTCTGTGTAGATTATTAATATTTCCACTGTGTGCTCCGGGGGTTAAAAAAAAATCAACCTCAAGAAAACACACACGGAGAGACAACAAAGACCACTCACTCCATACTAGTTCCTGTTCTTTCCAGGACAATCCCTGGACTGACCCTTTAATCTTCCCTTTCTCCTCCTCCACCCCTTATTGCTGTCTCTCTCTCTCGCTCTCACTCTCTCTCTCTCCTTTCGGAGACAGTGCTGGGACACGAAATCACCGGAGGCCGTACAGAAACACTGCACAGACTCTCAGCAGCCCCACTTCTCTTTTCTCTGCTTGACGATATCCAGTCGTTCTCTTTCAGTTATTTTAAAACTGCCCGAGAGAAAACCGAGTGAATAAGGCTGTAGTTTTTCTTTGTTTATTGGCATTTTCTTATTTGCTCTTAGAGCGGTTAGATACTTGCCTCAGAAGCAGAGAGTCCTGGGTTCAATTCCCAGTGGAACCACATGCTTGCCGCCTGTTAACAGCATCCAAATATGGGATCAATAAAGTTCAATTTCGCCTGTTAACAGCATCCAAATATTTTTTTTCAACCCATCAACATGTATATTTTTATCTGTACAAACCACTGTATGAGCTGCTGCCACCCAGTGACTGGAGGCTAGTAATCATTCAAGCGTCACAGCAGTGGTACACTTGTGTCCAGCGTGCCATATTCCATCGAAAGTCTCTCGCGCCCCCACCAGGGGGCCTGCCCCACTACTTGAGAAGCACTGTTCTAGGTTATCATCACCTTATGTTCTTTGCTGCGCTCCCTACTGATTGATGATTTTTGAGTTTTCTTACGGCATCGAAGTGCAATAAACGTGAGCCCAGCACGGCGTTGCGTTTGAGGACAGCAACTGGTTATACTTTCTGCCACGTGTAATATTTATTCCTACTTTATTTTCACTTGACATCCAGACTTTTGAATGTTGCTATAAATAAATCAATTCAAACTCCATCACGATCACAACTCCCATCTGAATGCCTTTAATTATCTCACTGGGAACGAGACGCACACGCATCATGTAACTCTCTTTTTTTTTTATTGCGAAATATCTATGCTCTTGTTACATTCTGAATCTGTACGAACCATGAGAACGTATGCCCGCGATGAGTCAGCACAAGTACGTGCTGAATTATGGATGAGGGGGTTCCTCGGTTTCCCTGTCATGAACAGCCCTCCTTAGATAAACAGTGCTTGGCTCTCCTGTCACCTAGTCGGTGAGGTTTTCTTTAGCCTACTTAGCCCTCGTGTCTTATGTGTGTTTCTGGGCCATGCTATTCAAGTAGTACTTGTACTTATGGGGGCTGTTGTGCTGCCCAAGGGAAATGAGTTTTCTTGAGGAGACGGCTGTTCTTGTTGCAGTCAATTCTGGGCCAAACAAAAAAAAGAAAGAATGGAAGGAATAGAGTGAGAGACTGGAATAGTAGCAGTACGATATAATATGCAGAAAATTATGACAAGCATGCATTCATTTGAACAAGATCATTTCATTTTTTTTACTCTGGTTATAGCTGTGTTTTTCAAATTTGGGGTCGCGACCCCTGTTTGGGGTCACCTGGAATTCAAATGGGGGGTCAAGTGATTGATAAATGAAGTGAACTAAGATAAATGACATGTAAAAGTCATGCTTAAAGGCTAAAATCCTAAAATGCTTTTAGGCTTTTTTGCACCATCTACTGGGGAAACTTGGGTATTGCAGGGAAAAAGGAAGACGTATGAAGATAATATAAATAAATTATATAATTTGGACAAGTCTGGCAGGCCGGAATAAAAAGCTGAACGGGCCGCATTCGGCCCCCGGGCCATAGTTTGCCCATGCCTGGGCTGGACTGTAACTTTATGCAGTTGAGATATTTGTGAAGCTCATGTTAATACACAGTATTCATGTTCAGACATTAATAACGGCACATGTGTTTTAAACCAAATCCCATCTATAAATTCAGTCAAAATAATAATTCGCTGTATAGTCGTGTCAGAATGACAGTTTATATTTCCCTACTGAACATAACATCCTGTTGTGCCTTTCATTCATGGCACTGAAAAACATATTTTTTCTCACAAGAATATGCATCTATCACTTTACTAGATGACAGGTGACATTCTTGTATGTGGAGTTTGTCCACAGAGAAAATAACGTTCTCAGAACCGGCAAAGGCTTAAAAGACACGTCCTCCTGTGTGCCGTCTTTGCCTGTTTTCAAAATGTGTTGCCCTTAAATACAAATAAAGCCTGTTAGCATTTCTAGTGTAGTCTGTTCTGCATCAAAGCCTCCCACGTATTTACTAATCCCAGCGTCTAACACTCATGCACCAGTAATAAGCTCTCGATGCTCTGCAGAACGCCTGCTGGAGAAAATCCAACCTATAACGTAATGTAAATCAGTCTCACACGGTCTGCTGCACATGAGTCGGTGTGGGCTGCAGCACGGGGTTTTTGTAACTCCAGCAGGGGGAGGTAGTGACACGGCAGCGGTGGGTGAAGTGTGGCGGAGAATGAGTAAAATGGACAGACAACAGCAGGGTTCTCTCCCATTCTAAACGTCCCCTCTTTCATGTTTTCCCCGGTTTGATCATCCTTCACTGTTTTGGCCTTGTCCTGAGGTCTGCAGTTCAGGTGGGAATCTCAGTCCCCCTAGTGTTCGTTTGAAGATACAGAGGGGAAGTGAGCTGAAAATCAACTGTCAGAAGTTTTCTGAAAGTGAACTTGAACAGATATGAATATTGTATGGAAATGCCATGCAAAAGATGAATTCACTGATGCTAATAAGGAGCTTACTTGATAAATATTCTCGGCCCGGAGTCTGGAGAGGGTAAACAATAGACTACGTCAACAGTGTCTGCCGGTGAAAACACAGATTCCTGCATCACAACAGAGATAAAGTAAGTGTTTTTCGCCACATTAACTGCAGATATGAGCTTCTCATAAGGAGGGATGTCATCCCTGCGTTCTGTTGTCTTTTTGTCGCCTCTAAAGGGAAAAGATATTATCACTGCTGCGGAAGAGATCCCGAGCAATCAGTCAACATGTTACGACGTGCCGCCGCACCCTCGCCCATCACCGTTTTTCATTAGTTCACCTCATGTAATGGTTCTTCGTTGTCCAGACAGATGGTGGTGTGTTCGGTAGCAGTAGAAGCCATTATAAAAGTTTTATTGCAGCCTCCAGACTATGAACGCACAGACAAGCTCCCGATGATGATGATGATTTTTTTTTTTTTAGGATCATGCAGCATCCTTACAGCAGGTTCTGTCTATAATTAACTAAATGTGCTCGAATGGTTACCAGACTCTGTAGTCGTAATTTTTTACTGCGGAATCTTGGGATTTAAAAGATTCTGTTTTTTAAAAAAAAAAACAACGTTTGACTAATGTCTCTCTGGATCTTTCCAGACTTCTGACTTCTGACTTCATCTGCAACCCGTGGGGTTGCAGATGCCGAAGCGTATATCATACCCGTGGGGTTGCAGATGCCGAAGCGTCTACTTTAAAGAACCTCACAGCCCCAGCTCCAGTTGGACGCGCAGACCCACAATTTTCTTATTAGAAAAGCAATTTCTCAGACTATTGATTCCCACCTTGTTGTTCCTTTAACTGAGTTCTGGACCTAGGTAAGATGCTGATGAAATTGACCTCTCCGTGACCTCCAGAACGGCTACATATACCACCATTCATTGGCCCCATTGTAGATACCGCTGTTATAACTAGATAATCTCGAGATGAGATTTTTTTTTTTCCCGGTGCTGTTGCCTAACTTTGGCCGCACATTTATTTATTCATATATCTCAAAACTCAGAAAATGAAATATCTGAACATAACGCAGTATAAACTTATTGACGCTCTGATCTGTGTGGGTTAGATAGGACTGACGATCGATACTGGTGATCCCCGGGGTTGGCCGAGTGCTGTTCTGAGTTTCTAGATACGCTTAGGGATTTATGATGTACAGAGAATCGGAGGCTAAACTGAAATCCCCTCCCTTATGGTTGGGTGATGACAAGCTTCAGCTTTGGAGCAAGAGGAATTTTAAAATCGTTTCATCATTTCAAGTTTAAAAAAATACAAAAACAGTTCCAGTGTTTGGAAAATCTTTAACCTTAATCCTTGAGGTTATTTACATTACGATTATGCAAATTGATGCTAATTCACTATGTGTTCTTATATGTGATTGTACGTGTGAATAGACATCGTCTTTGTATACAGTGGACATACAGGGGGGTCTTTGGTTTACGACATCCTCGACCTGCGAAGTTGTTGAGCGAACTAGTTGGTTAGCAAAGTGGCGTAGCTATGCACAGAAGACGGCTTTGTTTACATTCGGTGGTTGAGTTGTTTGTGTTGTTTTTTGGGAACTTTTTGCCCTTCATCATGGCTCACAGGCGAAAGTCAGACATCTATGATGTTACCACTGCGTTAGCCATGCAGGCGACGTACGTACTTACGTTCTTATAAACTTATGCGTACAAGTCTGTTGCCTATCTCGTGGGATTCCCTCCGCCCCAGTCGTCCTTCTTTTGTTTACCGACGAATGCACTGACTCGTCCAAGTCACG